CCAATCAGAGTAGCCAAAACATAAATCGCAGTATTTGAACTTTGATAGCTCTCTGGTCAGGGCTCTTAGAGCATTTGATAAGCTAATTCCTTGCCCACCGTTCAAGTGCTTAAAGGGTACCATTGGGAATGGACGGTTCCTCAAAAGAGAGCCCTAAAAAGTAATCCACCCTTTTCCCCCTTCTTGATAGCCATGGCATTAATCAAGTCTAGCACAGAAGATCAGCTATTAGAGTGCATCAGCTGGCCCTCGTCAGTGCTAATGGAAGGCATCAATGTGCATTTCAGCTTGGTAAGAAACCTGATGTGCCCTGCTCTTTCCTTTTTCATTAAAGGTGAACTGCAGATGTGCACTCAACATAAGATGCATCCATTATTTATTGTCTGGTATAAAGGATGGAGAGAAATGTTAGATCTGGTCTTCCTTGATGTTGCTGGTGGCTCCTGGTCTCAGATGTAGTGTAGAAACCCAACACCTCCACCCTTCAATTAGAGGTGTGAGAACCTAAACAGCTTGAGAAAAGGAGTTCAGTCGAACCTCTTAACTCAAATGGATGCTAACAGCACCCAGTCGTTTGAAATATTCTGGCGGAAGGTGCTTTCCGCTGTCTCTCTGTTGCTCAGCTTTCAGTCTTGTCTGCTGTCTTAGACTTGAGCTCTGGCCCCTTAGATGAACATCTGTTCAGGTGGTGGCTGCTGCAGTTTCCATCAAGCCCTGTCCAGCCACAAGGCTCTTCATCTTGCCCGGCACCAGCTCGCTTCGATAAATAGAGTTAGAGGGGAGAAAGACTGGCGCAGCTCGTGTCAGAAAAAGAGCAGGGAATGGGTTTCTAGAAAACAACCCTGCCAGCCAAACTTCAGTCTTCATGAAGAGGCAAACAGGAGGCACAGACTTTTTTCCAGGTCATCTCTAATTCCCATGTATTATACTTCCCATTTTAAAGATTCTCCAAAGCTGGTATTAGGAAAAGTAATGGGTAACCCTGATCTATCGGGTTCTTGATGCAAACTAAACTCCTGGTAACTTCAGCTGACATCTTGGTCTTGCGTGAACCACCGAATCTGGCCCCTTGTTCCTGCCTGAGAAGTAGTGGAAGGATAATTTCACCTTCAGCCTTAGCGGAAGGAAAATGAACACATTTGTGTTTGCTAGCAGCAGAGCAAAAGTAGAAATTGCTGGGACAACCAAACAGAAGTTACTGTGAAGAAAGCAGTGGCTCTTCAATCTTTTAATGGGGCTTATTTATATTTTCCAGTTGGGATGTTAAGCTCCAGGTACCTGGGGTTCCTTGAGTTTGTACTATGGGCAACTGATAGATTAATATAAGCATTGTTTTCCACCTCTATCAAATGCATTGCTAAGAGAAAGTCTATGTAAGGCTATCCACTTCCGTGTTAAACAGCTCTAGGAAAAGCCTCGTTCAAACAGCAGGCCCTGTAGCATGGGGAAGTGGCTATGTTTACCTTACACAGTGTTGCCGGTTGTTCAATTTTCTGGGTATATTTGTAAAATCAGTCTTTTATACACCATGTGAAATGGATTAAAAAATGATCTCTTCACTGTTGTACCTGTGGAAGTACAAGCCATTTGACAGGAAATGTTCAAAAATATTAAAATGTTATCTCGGTATTGCCTCTGACTCCTTTTTAATTTTTTTTTCCCCTTTCAGGCTGTCAATTAAAATACCATCGTCAACACTTTAAAAAATCCCTATCTGAGAACTTGGTGCATCAAGGTAGTGGGAAGTATTCAAGTGTTGAGTGCTCTGAAATTTCAGTTAATTCTTTTCCCCCCTGTTTTCCATTGAACGCTGCTCATGCTTTCAATGCTGACTGCCTTCTTACGGTGTTAACATCATTGGTAAATAAAAGCAATTTCCAGGAATAATATGCTTTGTGACTTTTTTTTAAATGAATTTCTGTAGTAGTACTTTAATGTGTTTTGTTTGCATTTTTCTCCCTTTGTCCTCCCCCCCCCCCACACCTTTTTTATGCAGACACTGAATATGTAAGCCTCATATTTTAAATGAGCTGAAAGAGGTTTGCTTTTTGATCAAACAGAAAATGTCTTTTGTTTTTTCCCT